GGAGCGCGTCCTGGCATGACAAGCATTTGTGCGCCCGCTGCCCTGCGCACAAGGTCGGACCTCAGCACCCACGCCCTTCCTGGAAAGGATCAGTTTCCCTCTTTGCAAGTGCAAAGATAGGCTCAGAGGAATTAAGTAACTTGCCCAAAGTCACACAGCCAGAAAGTTGGCACAGCCCGAAATCCACGCAGATCTGCCTTGTTGCCAATCTCTTCCCGGGGCACCTGACAGGCGCGAGGCCTGGCGCTGCGGCTCCACCTTTCACCTGCTCGCCGGGACAGTAATTCAGACGCCTTTAGCTTGGGGAGGCAGAGGATGGGGCCGGAGGTCTGGGAGGTAGGCACAGAGAGAGCGGGGTTTGCCCGGGGCCGCAGGGGAGAGCGCAAGTCCTTCACCGGACTGTGCGAGCTTTTCGCCTGCAGGTGTGTTTGGGAGCGAAACGCGAACGAGATGCGAGTGTTCATGCGTGTGTGCGGCAGCATCTTGGGCCCGCCGCTGTGGCTCTAAGTGCGCCCTCAGCCCGGGCCGGCCCTACAGAACGTCCCCGGGTCTGACCCGCCAGATGGCTTCCTTCTGCACCGACGGGTGCGCGCCTGACCTTGACTGCACCCACTCGAGGATCCGCAGCGTGTGGCTGTCTGCTCCAGTGGCCTGTGCACCTGCACAGTCTGGGGAGGGAGCTTTACCCAGCCCCGAGCCCAGTCTGGTTTCTGTGAGCCATAACAGGTGGTCACCTTCGCGTTTTCTGCCTCGGAGTGGTCCTTACCATAGTTGTCGGAACACGCCCAAGTATCGCTGCTGCTCACGACTCCCTCTCCTTGGGCAGGGCGTCTCGGTCCCTCGGGTTCTGAGGAGTCCTTCGGGATGGGCCGTGGAGGCAGAGAACCATAAGAATTGAGTGAGATGCAGGAATCTATGACTCCACTGCCTCCGGAGCAGGGGACTCAGCTGGACAGCGGAGAGTAGGGGAGCGCTTGCGGACCCCAAGTGCCAGGACTACCCTGAGGGTTGGAGGCACCTGGACGACCTTTTCCAAGGAAAGGAAGCTGCGCCCCCGGCGGGAACGCCACAGGAATCAAGAGGGGCCAGGAGAACCAAGTGTCATGCGGTGGATCCCACAGCAAAGCCTGAGCCCAGAGCCGGGAGGCAATGCCAAACCATCTGCTTTCTCTTTCCCACCCTGGCATTCTGCGCGGGAAAGTGCAGGTCCCTTTGTTTAGGAGGCCTGAGTTTGGGGTAGCAGAGTCTCCTGAACTCCAAGATGATCCAGACATCAGCAGGGCATCCTTTGTTTTCTGGTGAGTTGACTCATCACCTCCGGGCAGCCAGCCTGATTGCCTCCGCACGGTAACACCCATAGAGGGGCACCACTCTTTCATTTGAGGAGAAAGGAAGAGGTATAAGAAGGGGAAGAGGAAGGGAGCTCCAGGTGGACGATGCAAGTCCCCTCTTCTCTTTTTCTACTGGACGAAGAGGAATGTTACCAATCTGGAACTACTTTGAGACTTGCTTTGTTTATACAGGTTTAAGGAGCCAGGCAGATTGATCCTTTTTTTTTTTAATAAATAAATTTATTTATTTATTTATTTACTTATTTATTTATGGCTCTGTTGGGTCTTCGTTGCTGCCCGCAGGCTTTCTCTAGTTGTGGTGACTGGGGGCTACTCTTTGTTGAGGTGTGCAGGCTTCTCATTGCGATGGCTTCTCTTGTTGCAGAGCATGGTCCTTAGAGCTAACAGGCTTCAGTAGTTGTGGCACACAGGCTTCAGTACTTGTTGCTCGCGGGCATTAGAGCGCAGGCTCACTAGTTGTGGTGCAGGGGCTTAGTTGCTCCGCAGCATGTGGGATCTTCCCGGACCAGGGATTGAACCCATGTGCCCTGCGCTGGCAGGCGGATTCTCAACCACTGTGCTACCAGGGAAGCCCCATATTGATTCTCGAGCCAGGCACTGGACTGGTTTCCAGGGAGCAAGAGGTACATCCTCTGAAACCCCTGACTGAGGACAGGTTGGGAGCTTCCAGTGTCCCGTGGGCACCTCCTTCTGTCCGAATATCTGTAGGCTGGTTCTTCCTGTCTTCTTGGTGACAGCTGGGTAACCATCTCCTCTCTCTTTGAGCTTTGAGACTAAATACAATAAACTGACCCCGCCCCAGTGTGGACAGAACCAACACCTGGGAATCTACCTCCCCTCTTTGGAAGAGGAATCTTCTGGTGAGCCCTCACTTCTGACCACTGGCCTGTGGCCATTTGGGGCAGATCAGAGCCTGGAAGAGTTAACTGTGGCATGAGGCTTCCCTGGGGCAGACCATGGAGCAGCTCCTGCTTAGCCTGGGCTTGGGAGGTGGGATGGGTAGAAGTGGGAGGATGATGCTGGAGGGACCTTCAGGGAAGGAGAAAGCCAGCACATGACCACCTTGGCAACTGAAGGTTTCAACTCCTCCTTGGTTTCTTTGCCCAGGAAGCTGCAGAGAAGGCTCTCTCTCTCCCCTAGGCCTAGGGGGGGACTCAGGTCACCTCTTCCTGCTTTTCACTCATCAGGTTTGCTCCTTCCTGCTCTGGCCCCAGGGGCCAGGCCTGGGAAAGTTAGACCCACTGAGCAGCTGAACATGAGCTGTTTGTGGCACTTTATTGAATGCTCAGTGTGAAAACTCCTCCTAATGGCAAAGGAGAGAGAAAAGGCCTTAGGAGCCTGGCAGTTCTGTAGGGAATCTTGTCGTCTGTCAATTATCCATCCACTGATTCCCCAAGTATTCACTGAGCATCCGTGCAGCCTGTGGGGTTCCATCCTGGCAGGGAAGACACCCCTCCACCCAGGCAACAGGCACTAGCTTTGTAGGCCCAGGACAATGGCAGGGAGGGAGGACAGCTCCCCCAGCTTGGGCTAGCAGGGCAGGCTTCCTGGAGAAGGAAAAATCTGTGCTGAGCTGGGAAAGGAGACCCGGCAGGCAGGAGGAGAGAAAGGAGAGAGGAGGGGAACCCAGATGGAAAGCAGAGTGATTCCCTTTGGGCTACTGGGAGGAATGCACCCAGGCTTAGTGGGGTGTAGTAAAAGAAAACATGAGTGCCCAGAGCTAGGGAAA